TGAAAAATGTTTATGCATACCAGAAATGCCACAAGGGGCTGGGATATTACAATGTGACCTTTTAGATGTACCCAGTGGCTGAGATATTATAATGTAGCTTTTTTAATGTATCCAATAGAGTTGCGAGTAGTGTATTGTAGAATGCTTATATAAGGTGTGATTTCTTTCAATAAAGTTGAAGCTTGCTCTATCATTCACATTGAATCGGCTGCTTGCTTCCTCCGCCCGCCGCAGTAAAATGCTGCTAGGTTCTTGGGTTTTTTTCTTTTTCTTTCCCTCTTTGAGACCTTTAATGTTTCTTTTGTTGTCTGGCAATGACACCATGACATATCCTGTTGTTTCCAGCTCCATTTACAGTACCACCTGTCATCAAAGTAGTATCAAATTCTTTGTGGTTTTGTCTCTAAGTGGAAGCTGAAGAAGGGGAAAAGGAGCATCATCCAGAAGGCTTATGTCTCAGCAGACAGAGAACATCCCAGAGCAGCTCCAACAGAGCCACCTGGAAGTTCTTGGAGGGCCCAGTGGATCAGGGGACAGCAAAGAATTCCACATCTTTTAAATCCCAGGCATCTCCTTCCCCAAAGTGTGTTCAGACTAAAAACCAGAACAGGCCAGAAGACCCCATACACAGAATCTTCACTGAAGAGGACTTGTAAAGGAAAGAGAAGATACTTTTGCCACAAAGGCTCAATAGTGGGGCATGAGCCAAGAGGAAGGAACAGCAGTTACTGCCTGTCAGCAATATCCAGGCAGAGGGAGGCAGAAGACACCAAATCCATCTCAAATGCCAAAGAACAAGTAACAGGCCAGCACCAGACACTGAGCTCTGGAGGGCCTGGATCTTCCTGGAAGACCATCAAAGCCAGATAAAAAAAGCCAAGGAGAGTGCAGCAGATTAAATGACAAAGAGTCCTTAGCATCATTAGGGACAGATACAAAAGCGGAATGGAAGCTCCTTCTGGAGAAGAGAAACAGCTTGATCCATGCTAACAGGAAATACAAATTTACTACTGCAGATGAACTTCACAGAATCACAGAATTGTCTAGGTTGAAAAAGACCTTGAAGATCATCCAGTCCAACCAACTTACTGGAGATGAACAGGTATCAGAGGAAGCCATTTCATGTATCCTTTGTGGCAGGTTGAAGACCATTTGTATGGTGTAACGGCGCTGAGTGGGATATTAGCAGTATATCAGCAGTTTCTAGAAGACATGTAGAGGGATAGATTTGGGCTTCGCATTACAGGGTAGTGACACATTCCATAGACAGCCTTTCCAGCCTTTCCCATATCTTTTTGAATTTTGTTTTTCCATCCCCTTTTCATTTATAAGGTTCTTGTAGCCAGGCAGAGTCCCAGCTCAGCAAGGCAAAAAAAATGTGGTACCAGGACCCAATCCAGGGCCCAACATCTTCATGCCATTATATTTCCTCCTCTTTTTACCAGTCCTAGTCATCCAATGCAATTACAGTGCCTACAGAAGCCCCTGAGGGAGACTCAAGGACAGACCCAGGTCTCAGGAATTAGTAATAGCTCAAAGACCTATGCAGAGGTGGAAAAGACAGGAGTTTGCTGCAGTTAGGGAATGTGGACTGACAGTGGTACCTTGTTGTTTGTGTTTTCAGGAACAGTGAGCTCTGTGCAAGGCAGCATTAATCATGAGAAAAGACTTAGTGACTGCAATGAAATGCTAAAAAACTCCTTGAACTCTACATCTTTTGATTATAACAATGTGGTAGATTTTAACCTGAGATCAAATGTCTTCCAAGGTGAGGAGACACACATACCTATGCCTGACCTTCAAAGCTGGTTCTGTCTTCACTTTCCCTGGGCCCAGAGCAACCACACTGCTTTGGGTAGAGATTTCTCTTGGGGTAGAGAGGTGACCCTCACTTTCCCCTCTTATTCCTTCTATCCAGAGTCATTACTTTTCCAGGCTGTGGTGCTTGAGGGAATGAAAGCTTGAGCCTTCCTTTCTATCTATTCTATCCCTTTCTTTTCTCTTCTTTCACTCTTTTTTTTTTTCCCCAAGATGTGAAAATTGAAGGTGTACCATGACCCACTCTCCTCCATGTTCAGAGCTGTCCAAATGGGCACCATTTGCAATACAATGTCGCTTGTCATGCCCAATCCCAGGTTACCTCCAGTTCTGATACTGACATTATTTCTGTTCAAGACCTTTAGGGTTGTGGAGCTATGAAATATCTTCCCCAAACCTCTGTTTCTGAGGTTTCCAGGGATCCTTCCATCTAAACAAATCTTGGGAAATAAGCACTCATCCCATTCTTTTTACCATCATATCCAACAAACTCTGAAATAATTGTCTCTGATTCCAGTTTCTAGGTACCAGCATGAAACTTTCCTTTTCCTTATACAGGACATTTCATGACAGGACCTTGCTGGGTATTGAAGACTGCATTGTGCAGTCACACAGAGAGGAAGGACATATTTCCCCAGGGAGCTCAAAATCATTATTATCAAGAAAAGCGTACAGTAAAAAGGAAGGTGAAGAGGAAAGGATGAGAGATTAAAATAAAGGCCCATCAAATATCTAAAAGTCAAGAGGGGATGAAAGGAGAAGTCACAGCTGGGAACTATTTGTTAAGTATGGTGGCAGAAAAGGAGCTCGAGAAGACCTGAAGTGGTAAGATGGTGCTTTTTGTAGAGCTGTGCTTCTGAATAGAAAGTTACATGAATGAGGGGATTTGACAGGAGATAAGTGGGCACTTGACTGAAAAATGGGCACTGGGATACAAATAAAGATGATACCTTGTAGCACTCTGTGTGTGCCTCATACTTGAGGATGAAAGCTTATAAATCGGCAAACACAAGCTCACTCCTGTGTAATGATGAAGCTATTATTCAGCACCTAGCCACACACTTTGTCAAAACTATTACAGTCAACATATGCTTTTTCTTGTGCCTGGGTGTTTCTCCCATGCTCAATTCCAGGACTGCAGTAGGGTGATTTCTGTGTACAGTTCCTTATTTACTATTCCTTGCAGGTGGCTCACTGGAATGCCAAAGCTTGATGAAAGGTTCCTACACCCCTGATATAATTCAGAAGGCAATCAGAGATCCCAAGAATTGGCATGGAAGGAGGACTGATGAGCTAGGTATGGCTTCTGCCAGGAAAAGTACACTGCTGAATTCCTGAGATGGGTGCTGCTTCTGCCAAGGACAGTGGATGGGTTTGGGCAAAGGTGTAGAGGAACTAGAAATTGGCATTTTCATGAGAGGAGTTCTACAGCTAGAAAACTCCTTGAGGGATAATAGCATTAGAAGGGAGGCTGTAACTGATTTAACTTCTTTACAGGGAAATGGCATCAGAAAAATGCCATAAAACTTAACCTGCTGAAAGCATTGGAGGACAAATACGGAAAGAAGGACAAGACTTAGAAGATAAACATTGAGGGTTGGAGTACATTCAGCAAGAGATCTTCCTCAGTCATCTAATAAACATCCATATAAAGCATGAACCCATTGCTTGCTAGTTGTAAACAGCAGATTGGTTGCTGGTGCTCTCTGCCCCTCTCATTTAGGGTGTCTTTGGGAAGAGCAACACAAGATAAATCTGAATGTGAATACCAAAAAAATCACTTTGTGGTCACTGGTAAGGTGGGCCTGATTAGTGTGTGAGGCACATACCCTTGCAGAGGGATGTGGTGGTGAGAGGAGGCCATACAGAAATCCATCTGCTGGACACATAAGGTGGAGTAGATTCTGTGAGTGGTCTAAGATGGTGATGGTTAGGGTTGCATATGTGTATGTGTGTGTGTCTGCACGTGTGTTTGCCAGAAGATTCATACTTCGACTGCTGTCCTAGCAGTGCAGAGAGAAGCACAGAGGATGCGCTGGGAATGAACCAGGGTGGCCCAAAGATGTGAATGCTGCTGTAAAACTCCCACACAGAGAAGCTTCAGAGCTGTATGTACATAGCAGGTGGAAATACCAAGCAAAGAATCAGCTCCCTGTTGATGCTTCTGAGGTGAATTCAGGCTCTCTTGCTAGAAAGGCACCAAATGGTGTCCTCTCAATAATCTGGGCACAGCTCCGTATGATTGGCATCAGATGCCTATGTGGGGTAGGAAAGGAGGGTTCTCTATTCACCACTCTAGTTTTATTGTATCTGCCACATGGAGGGTTTCAGGGCAAGCTCTTACACTGGCAGGGAGCAACAGTAATGTGTGAAAACAGAAACTCACCTGAGAAGAGGAGGCATCGGGGTATTCACTAAAGCCTGCACCATTTGCAGGCCAAGCCAATGCAAAAAAAAATGAAAACCAGCCTATTCCACCTAAGGGGAACAGGAGATCTGCAAGAAGCCCCAGGAGTTCTCCAATCTGCAAATCACCCCACAATGTCAATGCACCCTTATTGAAGCTCTCATAGGCCCCTCTTAGCCCTAACTCAGAGATAAATGTCTCTCAGGGAGAATCACATGCATTCACCATACAGTCTGCACAGTCTGAAGTGCAGAGAGTGTATCTGGACAGTAACCAAGGACCACCCAAGGGATTGAATGATGCAGGACATGCAGGGTCTTTAGGGCTCCCTGGTGTGTTTTTCTCGCAGCACTTAATGACTCTTATTGCAGGATCCTACCTTCCAGCTCCAAAGTGTAGCAGTTTGGGGCAGCAGTCACAAAGTACGTGTCTGCAAATAGTGATGCCCTCATCTTTCCTGTCAGGTCCCAAGCTTTCACCATTTAAAAGACTGATGCTTTGCTCCATGATATGAACTGGTTTGGGACAGAATTAGGACTGTTACTTTACCCATCAGATGAGGATTAGATAACAATATGCTGACTTCATAAACTAGTGGAGGAGGTTAAAATGTAACTAATGGTAACCAAGTGATAATAATTTTCCACCACCAATAATTAACCATTTGGAATTCAGATGTTCCCAGGCACATGTCCAAGTCTTTCAAATTAAGGAGACTGGCCAAACAGCAGCTTGTAGAAACCTCCCTGTGGCTTTTCCTTGTACATCAGTGCCAAGTGACTCCTGTCTGAGCACACACCACTTCAGTTTCAGCTGAAGGTTGTAACACCCTGTTCTCTGTGTTGCATCCAGCACTGATGACCAACATGACTCCAGGTACATAATAAATGCTGTCTTCTGAGACCGCAACAGGTCCTAATCCAGAAAACATGGAGCTGAACAGAAATCTACTGACATTGTTTGGCATACTGAAGGCAGGCAGTTAAGAGAACAGTTAGCTAAAACACATGTGGGCTGAATTAGCACATAGATTTACAGATCTGTTTCTAATAGACATGAGAAACAGGCATTAGGGCAGGCAGACTACAGGGTTATGGTACAGCTGGGAGTAAACTCCTTTTGCTACCCATGAAAGGCTTGTGAAGGGACTAGATCAGAAGGGAAATAGATAATGGTCTTGTTGGCGCACCACTAACCTCTGCCCCAGACTGTGTTGCTTGTCTCTTGCAGGTGAGTAAAGTCACTTTGGACACTTTACAAATTAAAATATTTTTATAGGCACTGAAATACTACAAAATAGTTGGCACTCAAAGGGGTGACAGCTGTCTGATGCCAAATGAACATACATGTGGTGATCCCCCTTCATCTTCTTTGCTTTGCCAAGTGTTACAGCTCAGCCAGGGGCAAACACTTTCTGAAGGGTGACACACTGAAAGCTGCAGAGATAACTGAGATAGCTTTCAGTGAGACAGTGCAGCTACTGGGAGTAATCAATACCTGAAGTCCCTGAGTGCTGAACAGACTCATTTAGCCACAACCTTGGCAAGGACCATTACCCTGTGTGGCACTCTGTGTTGACTAGAGCTTTTTGGGTACCCAAACACTGTATTTAAAGCCAGCTTTGGAATCTCCAAGTAGCATGTCAGATGCAGCTAGACAAGAACAGAGCTGAAAAAAGTGTTCACTGCAGCTGAAATCTTCCTTCTACCCATTCCTCTGCTCTCAGCAGTTCCTTTCTTCTTGCTTGTTTTGTGTTGGTGCTGACACTTCCCTGCCCACACTCTGAAATGATTCAACTTGATAAACCAGCAGAAAATCAATACAGGAGAAAAAAAAGCAAAGTTAACAGGTTAACAAATTAAATTTTCTAAGCAAAGGACCTTGTGGCAGGTAAGACAATGAATGATGGGGTATGCAGATGTTGGGGAGAAGTGGAAAGGGAGTGAAGGGGGAAATGGCCTTTCACTGTCATTTTTATGCCGTGAGAAATTAGTTGGCTACCGCTATACTGTCTCACTGAACCGCACTTTGCAACATATTCAGCCTGTAGTTAAGGGACGTTACAAGGTCTGATCATTGGGTGGCAGCTCTGAGCCAATGTTTTTCTCTGACAGGACAGAACTTGGGGAACTGCTTAGCTAAACCAAAATAGCTTCTAAGAACTGTTTCCGTCATCTATAAATAGTCAATACACTTGAAATATAAATAATCATACTATAGCAATTGGAAATAGAAGAGACCACCAAGCGTCTGCAGCACTCTCATACCTTCTAGTTTTTATTGCAGTAATGGGAATTTCCCAGTTTACGCTTATGCATCTCTGCAGTTGAGGTGCAGAACATTTTGCAGGATATCAGTTGTAATAAAGATTTCCTGTTCTCCAGATAATATTTATTTACTTTTCATTTAACCCTCTGACTTCTACCTATCTCATGATATCCTGAATAATTCTAACCTTTGCTATTTCCACTGCAAATTATTTTTAATAGCTCATTAAAGAAATGATAACAACTATAAGAACAGGAGATAGTCACTGCAAGAATTCTTATCAGTCTTCAGCCTGCTATTAAATTCCATTCTTTATGCTGTAAAGCTTTCACTGAAATAAAACTTATATTCTGAGCCACATCTATCCTGATATAAGCCCAGTATTCCTAAAAAAAAGGGAGTGTTTACTGCAGATTCTGCCTATAATGGAATAAAAGAAAATTACGACACTGCCTGAAGTGACAAGAGATCACAACAAAGAGGAGCAGGTGAACTGACTTAATTGGCTTCAGTGGATTACACTCTGGGGCACTGGGGTTGAAATACAATGTGTCTTAAGTTTAAAGGTATTTAAAACATTTACCCACCAAGAGACAACGGTGATTTGAGAGTTAGGAATTACCTGTGGTGTTCCCCTTGATAGTGGTAGAACAAAGGAGCCATGGGTCAGTAAAAGTAAAAAAACAAAACAAAACAAAACAAAAACCAAACCCAAACCCAAACCCAAATGATATGTTCCTCAGGGATCTCTTTGAGTTTGATTTGTCACAGAGTCCTCTCTGAGGATCTGAAATGTTGAGCGGGTAGTGTGGGACTGCAAACACAACCAAGGCTTGGTGGGATGAAGCTGCCAAGAGTAGTGACCCAGTATCAGAGGCAGGATCACTGCACTTGGAAACAGTAAGAGAGGTTTAAGAGCAGCATCTCCTTACAGATGAACAATGGACTTTCTCAACTCTGGGCAAAACAGGTAAGTGGACCACATTACCAAGAAGCTTTCAAGTTCTGTTGCTGATTTTAGTAAAGAGGCCTACCAGTGTTTATGCTGAGTTGCCATTTTATCTCTTTTAATAAAATTCCTTTTCTTTTAAACCCTTGGATTCGTTGCTCTTGAGCAGGAAACTGATTATCCAAGCTCATTATATGCTCAAACAAAATAATTTTCTTTCCCTATAACCTGAGAGGCTTGAACTGAAATTGATTACCTATTTTTAGAAAGGAGCCCTAGCTAAATCTGTCTTCTCCCCGTGCCAATCACACCTATCAGGGGAATGCAAACCAACCCTATCTCAATGTAGATACATGGGAATTGTGGCCTATTCCTTTTACCAAATGCACAAATATATGTAAGAAAGGGGTAAGGTTGCTTTAGATCTTTTACCATGTTGGACTAGGAGTTGGAGAGGAAAGGTAGCATTTGTGGAAATAAAATGCGATTATAGTGGTGTAATTTTTCTAATTTTTGTCTTGGTTATATAAGACCCCCACATGCAGAAGGCTTTTCTGAATCTCAAAGCTGGCTATTTTCCTTTCCACAACAGCTTTCTTCAGCATTATGAACATCTGAATGACCTCAATATTCTGTGCATTGTCTTCCTTGCAGCTGAAGGATATACCACCATGTACAAACTATCTAATTTTTTTTTAATGGATTTCCAAAACTTATTTACTTTGTGTGATGGGTCGACATTGGCTGGCTGCTAGATGCCACCAAGGTGTTCTATCACTCCTCCTCCTCAGCTGCACAGGGGAATTAAAATATGATGAAAGGCTTGGGATCAAGATAAGGACAGGGAGGTTACTCAGCAATTACTGTCATGGACAAAAAAGCTCAACGGAGAATTAATTTAATTTATTGCCAATCAAATCAGAATAGGATAATGAGACATAAAAAACAAATCTTGAAACACCTTCTCCCTTCTTCCTGGGCTCAACTTCACTCCCATTTTCTCTACCTCCTCCCCCTGAGCAGTGTAGGGATTCAGGAAATGGGAACTTCTCTCAGTTCAGCACAGTGTCTCTTCTGCTCCTTCCTCCTCGTGTCTTCCTCTGCTCCAGCATGGGATCCCACCCACAGGAGACAGTTCTTCATTAACATCGCTAATGTTGGTCCTTCCCATGGGCTGAAGTTCTTCACAAACTGCTCCAGTGTCTGTCCTTTCCATGGGGCACAGTCCTTCAGGAAAAGACTGCTCCAGTGTGGCCTCTCCACAGGGTCACAGCTGCCTTTGGGGCACATCCACCTCCTCTGGCATGGAATAACCTCCTCCCTCTCCTTCTTTACTCACCTTGGTGTCTGCATAGTTGGTTCTCTCATATTCTCACTCCTTCTTTCTTAAATTTATTATCACAGATGTGCTACCGACATCTACGGCCGGCTCAGCTTTCACCAGCAGGAGGTCCATCTTAGAGCTAGCTGGAACTGACTCTGTCAGATATGGCATCTTCTCACAGAAGCTACACCTATAGCCTTCCCACTACCAAAACCTTGACACGCAAACCCAATACACTTGGGGATCTTTCTGACTGATCTGCACCTTCTTACTGGGTTTTAGGTTGCAGACAGGAAACACTTGCCCATAGTGGAGGAAAAATATTATGGTGCTGCCAGGATTAAATATGACTACGTTGTTCTCCAACACAGGTTCTTTGGGAAAAAATTACACCTTTGCAAAAAGTATGTAAGGACATTTTTGTGGGTTCTGAATGTCTGTGGATACCTAAAGGGACAGTAAGATAATCTCCAAATGTATCCAGGTGCAATTCAGGAGAAGAGGTTGGTGCTTGACCTGAAATGGAGACATTGACAGCAGTTTTCTCAGGAGAAAACTCATGGCAAGAGTGGTCGCTGGGGGGCTGGGGCTCCTGTGGGTCACAAGGTAACTCCCCAGCAGTGACAAGTGGTGGATGCATGGAGTCACTGGCTGATGGCAGAAACAGGCTCTCTGTGGTGATGTACTCCAAGGGGCACTGCTGAGGAGATGTGAGACAGCTAAAAGCCTTTGGAGATTTTTGCTCTTCTGTTCTCATGTTCATGTCTTTCCTGCAGGCTGATGGGGCCAGTGAGACTTCTTTCTCATCGTCAAGGTGCTGCATCTTTTCCTTCTGAGCTGGGAGCAGGAAGGGCTGTGGAGGGCCTGCTCCTCCTTGTTCTTGCCCCTGTGGAGCCTGGGGGCAGTCTTCCTTTGGGAGGGTAACATACTGAAGGGAAACTGATTTCTCACGGGCTCCTGCTGGGTCCACTTCCAGGGTCTGGTGCATATCAGGCTGGGAGGACAACACTGGGCTGTACAAGTATGGACCATTGAAAGCAAAGTAAGTCTGGAAAGCAATACTTTCATGAGCAGCACTCTTGCATGGAAGCCTGGCAAACAGGCACGACAGACCAGCAGTCAATGGGCAGGCAAGTGCAGATGATGAAAATTAGGTTTTATGTGTCAGTCTGGAAGTCTGATGGACTTTTTGGAGCCAGTGTAGCATGGAAAAAGTACGCTGTCTTTGCCTCAGCTCCATGGAACTCGCTGGACTTCTCTTCATCATCCTTGTCTGGTGAAAAAACACAGGGCTTAGCTGCTATTGTCAACTCTCTAACTGACAGCTCTCTAAGGTGATAACTGCAAATAAACAGGAGATGCTCTAAGGAGGAACACTCTCTTCCAGGAAGCTAGATGGCCACGTCTCTTGTACCTTCCTCAAAAGATGCAGGCCTCATCCTTTTCTGTGCCACAGGAATAGATCAGCTGTTTACTGCCAACTCCAACTTTTCTCAGTGCCAAGATAAACAAGTACATATCAGCTCTTGAGAAAAGCTATGTTTTTGCTGTAAATAAAACAGAGCCAGGGACCATTATTTTGTTCTCTGGTTAAATGGCATAGACTGGCTCTGTCCAAACTGTATAGCCATGGCAGCCTTCTGGGTCTCCCACAGTGTCTCTGCAGTTTAAAACACAGCTAAGGCTTTTTGTCGGGTTTCTGTTTTGTTTTGGTTTTTTTTTTTAGTTCAAAGTGCATGACTTTGCATGACTGCTGTGTTACAGCAGTATTCATAGTGTGAAACAGGATGTGTATTGCACGGCCTGGGTGCAAAGCCTGCTAGAATACTCTTGAAGGACACTGGACACAGCCTAACCTGTACAGTCATGTCCATGTTGCCCACTGGGAATGGTTGCTACACTGTGCTATCTCTCAAACGGTGCCAGGATGTTTTCAAGAAGAGCGCTAGCTGGCACAGACCAAACCATGGCAGGGAGAGTGCTGACAACAAAGCAGTACAAGCAGTTACAATACAGTGCTTGACACTACATCTTGGCCCTGATTTATTTAGCAGTATAGGTTCAGGCAATGTCACTACTAGCATCAGCATTTATGCAGCTCTTGAGCTTTCAGTGATACTTTGCAGTTAGTTCTTCAAAATAAAGGGCCCACATCTCTTACGAGCACTGAATGTGAAGTTAGACAAAGGGGGAAGACAAAGACTTCAGAGAAATTGCAAACATAATCCATCTTTCCTTTCCATGACTTAAAAAACGCTATATTAAAAAGAGCTGACTCTCTCTCCTATGAGGCAGATAATTATCATGAAACCCAAGAGACAATTTAATTTGTGTCAGCCTCCCCATCTGCTCTGCTTCCTAGGATAGATTCCTGAACAGAGTACCATGGTCATCTCCCCACTCCGTCTTTGAAGACCTGACACAAATTTGATGCTGTATGGACAATTTGGAGCTATTTCTGATCAGCCACACACTGTCTAGGACCACTGCAGCTCTTCTTTGTTCACATTCCCCTTTCAAAGTCAGACTTCGCTTCCAGGAGCAGAAAGTATGTCATTTCTAGAAGATGAAGAGTTAAGGGAATATGTATAGTTTTGTGAGAGGGAAGTTATGTTCAGGTGGGCTGGAAGAAATTCAGACAACAAGATTTCCACCCTATTAGGTCATTTCCTTTTATTCAAACCTATTTCCAAAGGAAATGCAGAGAAAGAAAGGAAAGAGGTTCCTAACCCTAACCCAAGGGAACTGGGGGTGTTTAGTCTGGAGAAGAGGAGGCTGAGGGGAGACCTCATCGCCCTCTACAGCTACCTGAAAGGAGGTTGCAGAGAGCAGGGTGTGAGTGTCTTTAACCAAGTAACAAGTGATAGGACAAGAGGTAATGGCCTCAAGTTGTGCCAGGGAAGGTTTAGACTGGATATTAGGAAGTATTTCTTTACAGAAGGGGTTGTTGGGCGTTGGAATGGGCTGCCCAGGGAGGTGGTGGAGTCCCCATCCCTGGAGGTGTTTAAGAATCCGGCTGAGATAGTGCTGAGGGATCTGGTGTAGTTGGGAACTGTCAGTGTGAGGTTAATGGTTGGACTGGATGATCTTCAAGGTCTTTTCCAACCGAGATGATTCTGTGATTCTAGCCCCAGACTTCCAGCCATGTAAGCCATTGTGGTTTGAGCCCAGAGGGCAACTGAGCACCCTGCAGCCACTCACTCACCCCCTCCTCCCCAGCACTGTAAAGGAGAAAAATTAATCAAAAGGCTCAAGAATTAAGATAAGGATAGGAAGGGGTAGTTCACCAGTTATGATCACAGGCAAAAGACATGCTAGTTAGAAGAAATAAAAGATATCACTTTAATTCAAAACACTAATAAAACCAACACTTAAATTGACAGAATGGGACAGGGAGAAGCATTATCATATCTTAAAAACACCTCCCCCCACCCTTCCCTTCTTCCTGGGATCAGTTTTGTTCCCAGTATCTCTACCTCCTCTCCTAGCAGCTCAGGGATATGGAATGAGGGCCAAAGTCCACTGCTTCTTCCTCCAAGGAGAGGGAGAAGAATTCCTCTGCCTTCTTCCATCCCTCTCATGGGAGACAGTCCTCCAGAAACTTTCTTCTCTATGAGTCTTCCCCACAGGATGCATTCTTCCCAAGATGCTCTGACATGGGTCACCTCCACATGTTGCAGTCCTCCTGGCACCAAATTACAATGCTGGGGGCTTGTCGTCCCATAGAGTCATGGGGGTCCTCCACAGGCTGCTGGTGAACCTCTCTTCCTCCGGAGACCCCCATGGGTGGTAGGGGGGGCAGACCAGTTGTCTCATCATGGGATACAGGGTGACTCCCTGCTCTGGCACACCTCCCCCCCTTCCTCCTCCTTCTTTATACTGACCTCAATGTTCGCATAGCTGTCCTTCTTGTCAGAAGTCCCAACCCCCTCCCAGGTTACACCTCTTAAATACTTTATTGCAGAGGTGCAGCCACTGTTGCTAATTGGCTCAGTTTTGGCAAAAGGCAGGTCCAAATTGGAGCTGGGGGATCTTTCAAGAAGCTTCTCACAGGGGCTGCTACTGTAGCCCCCTCACCCGCTACCAAAATCCTTGCCACACAAACCCAGCACAGAAGTCAAGGTCTGCAGATGCAGCAATTACAATTTCCATAGATGTTGGAAGGTGGATAGGTGTACACAGACTTAGGAGTTATACAGGTGAGAATGCTTTGTCCTCCCCATTGGAATGGGTGATATCCATGTAGAGTCTGTTCTTACCCCATAGTTAATAGGAACCTTTCAAAAAAGAAGAAGAGAGCATACTGCTTGCTTACTCATCCAGAACTTGAAAGCAGTTAATCTGCTCCACCTCCTCAGAAGTGTTTATCCCATTGAAGACCACCTAGCTGGCTCACTGTTGGCTGATATATTCCTGAAGAAAGAAGATAAAGATTGTAACATGGGCAGAAACTCCATGAGAGAGGCACAGGCACATTGCCATGGGCCAAGCACGTACGCTGATGCCAGAGTAGCCCTGAAGAACAAGCCAAAGAGGACAGAGGTGATGATCTCTTTCTTCACTTCCCAGCTGCACATCAGACGATCTGCACCGTTGAAGAGGCAGTGAAGGTTCCTGGGCTGAAGGCCACCTTCAGAGAAGATGAGAGCAAGTTAAGTGATAGGAAAGGTCTTTCTTCTCAGACAGAACTTCCTGCCCTGCAAGGCCCTGCTCCATCCCACACTACCTTCAGGGGTCTCCCATGATGCCTCCGTGCTCCACTCGCTATACTGCCCAGAGAAGCCGCTGGCCCGCCCCGGTCTGGCTCGCACACGGGCAACGTAGCTGCTCCCTGGGACAAGGCTGTCACGGCTGAGGTGGCAAAGTGTGGTGTTGGAGAGCAAGAGCGAGGCAGCTTTCTGTGGTTGGGAGAAAGGAGAGAGAGGGGAGGGAGGGAACTGGGGAATTGGGGATACGCTTAAAAACTACCAAAAATAAATGTGCGTCCTCCTGGCAGGGGAAGCCGCTTCAAACGTATTTTGCCATTTTCCCACATGAATGCACAGGTTCCTCTTGGAATGTGCTTTAATTCCATTTGGGAACATTTCAGGGCAAAATCAAATCTGACTCAAAATCAAGTGCAGTGTTTTTTTCAGTGAAGAACAGATCTTTGCATTCAACTCAGGACAAATGGCGTTTCACTAGGCAAGATACTTGCAACAGAAAGAGAACCCCTTCCACCTGACCTAAACCAACATTTGCTGCATCTTCTTATAGTGCCTGAGAATGGAAAGGCCATTCATTCGCACAGCTTTTACCACAGGCTCTCAAGCACCCAAAACAGTGCAGCCCAAACCAGGACAGCCTGCCTCCTCTGCTCTTACCTCCCAGGACTCCCACTGCCGCTTGTAAGTGACTTCATACTGCAGTGCATTGCCCAGCCCTTGGCTTCCATCAGGTGCTTTCCAGGTCAGCAAGAAGTCGCCAGATCTCATCAAGATGACCGAGAGGTTTTGAGGTGGGAGGGTCTGAACTGGAAGGTGAAGGTGCAACCCATGAGATGAGATAGTGAGGACAGGGACATTAAAATGCCTAGCTGATGTTTGATGAATGACAGAATCTGGATATTTAACAATTTCCCTGAATAGCTACAAATAATCCATGATTCTTTTTCACTGCAAACTCTACAGGACTTGGAAATACATTCATGAACAGAAGAGGAAAATAGGGACAGTGCTGTTGTTGTGGAACTTTATAGCAACTTCATGAAAGAATATGCTGTAATGCATGTAGAGCATTTGTGATACCTTCCCTCAATCCCAATCAAGACACTTTTTAACTAGCAAGTCTACACCCATTTTTTCCATTGTCATCCAAGGTAGACATATTTTTGTCTATTCCAAATGCTCTGAATTTGAAGGTGGCAGTATGGCCTTATAAGCCATTTAAGTTCACTCTTGCTTACGTTTCAGGTTAAGTGCTGACCTAAGTATCTTTTTAGGTTTGGATATTCAACTCATGCATGAATCCTACAGCTCTTCCTCAAAAATAAATTATAGAATAGAATCATAGAGTGCTTTGGGTTAGAAAGGACCCCTAGTTCCAATCCCCCTGCCACAGGCAAGGACACCTTCCACTAGATCAGGTTTCTCAAAGGCCCATCCAACCCAGCCTTGAACATTTCCAGAGAGGGGGCATGCACAGCCTCTTTGGTCAGCCTGTTTCAGTGTTTCACCACCTTCACTGTAAAGAATTTCTTCCTTTAATCTAAATCTACCCTCTTTCAGTTTAAAGACATTATCCCTTGTCCTAGCACTACATGCCCTTGTATAAAGTCTCTCTTCAGCTGCCTTGCAGACCCTCTTTAGGTACTGGAAGGCACTATAAGGGTTAACCAGAGCCTTCTCTTCTCCAGGCTGAACAACCCCAACTGTCTCAGCCTGTCTTCACAGGAGAGGTGCTCCAGCCCTCTGATTTTATTTGTGGCCCTTCTCTGGACACACTGCAACACATCCATGTCCTTATGTTGGGGGTCCCAGAGCTCCTCACACACAGTACTCCAAGTGAGGTCTCATGAGAGCAGAGGGGGAGGATCATCTCCCTTGACCTGCTGATCACCCTTCTCTTGCTGCAGCCCAGGATGCAATTGGTTTTCCGGGCTGCAACTGCTCATTGCCATGTTATGTTGAGCTTCTCGTCAAACAACACCCCCATGTCCTTTTCTGCAGGGCTACTCTCAATCAATTCAGTGTTAATAAATACAGAGAAATTCATGTGACAAAAAAATAATTCTAACTATACAACAAGATCCAAGAACCCATGATAGCAGACAAATAATAATAGTAATGGGAGAGTCCCATTAAACCAAGATAACTTCTTCTGATCCTTATTTCAAGTTTTCTTCCCACCCTTCAATCTCTCTGCTATTTATCCTTCCATCTTGTGCTTCTATTATCATTTTTCTTCTTCCCCTGTCTCTTCCTTCTTCTCTGTCCCTTCCTCTCTCTTGTACTCTCCAGCTGACTGTTCTGTTTTCTTGACAGGATGAAGTAGAAAAAGATGTACAAGATGTAGCCTAGTATCTCTGAGAGGAAAACCAATGAGTCAAACACATACAACTTCTCTTTTTCTCACAGTTTGTTTTGCAGACATTATTTCAACACAGCTATGATCTTACTGGCATAAGGAAGAAGCAGCCTTCTTTCCCATTCTGATTAGTTATTATCACCACTGCATCTAGTGTAACACATACTTCTCCACTTGGGTGCAATAATTAACTTGTCCTGCTTTATTCTGTCTGTGTGTTCTCACAGCAAAAGCAAAGGAGAGTGATTGGAAAGATAATAAACCCAATTTGATAAACCCATAATAAACCCATGCTCTGCTTCTTGCTCTTCCTCATTCTGTACAGAACCAGCTTTCTCCCTAGTCTTGGCATAACACTGGTGTCTGCAAGCTGGATACTATGCTGGCTGCAAGCCCTTTTGCACAGCTCCATCTCTCAGTTTCAGTAGCCAAGCCCCTTCAGACTCTTCACAGAACACCAGCCAGGTACTTACTTTTCACAGCAGTTGTTAAAAGTTCAGAGTCACATTCATGAATTGATAAGCCTCTGAACACTCCATACATGTGCAAGTTGTAAGAGATGTGTAGTCATTATAACACTGTAGGGTCTTCATTGGGATGCTCTCTGAAAAAGAGGAAACAATCAGAAGGTAGATGGGGCTAGCAGTAGTGGGACATGGTAAAATGAACACAAGCTCTGCTACTGTACTGGAGAAGGTGGAGATAGAGAAGTCAGGAGCTGGGTGATGAGATCTGCTGGGAACATCCCCAGTGTTGTTCAGGTCATACTGTATGGAACTCACAAATAAAATTCTGTCTTTCATGGGAAAGTCTGAAAAAAAAGAAGTCTTCAAGAGTAGGTCCTGCTCTTAGAGTAGACTGGACTGTCATTATGTTGCCATTTATCAGACTTTTATCATGAGTCTTAGGACTGAGAAAGCCCCAACTTTTTGACTCTACTTGTTTGTATATCAAAATGGTCATGCAAGGAAAGTAAGATTCTGGTCTACAACCTGTGAAGAAAAGCTGGAATTGTTTTGTAATAGGTAAAATTAATTTTCAGAAATATTATAATTCAAAAGATAAGTCCAAAGGGTTAAGCTTGATGTTTTTAAGCCTCATAGGACCTCAAGTCTTTGAAGCAAAAGGCCTCATAACACTGGCTAAAACCTCAGACACATCTTCCCCTTTCTGCTCCCCAGACTGGAATCACAGCCATTCTGATGCAGTGTACTATGATCTAAGACTTCAGATTGTACCTCTGTTTCTGTTCCTGATCTGCAGAGGCCTGATGTTCCATGAAACTCCAACACAGATGGAAAACTGCTCAAGCAAATGTGTGTATAACACAGAAAGCTTAAAAAAGCAGCTCTCCTGAATGAGAAGCCTGTTGCCTCCTATGAATAATCTTTTGATATTCCCAATAGGAGGAAATGAAAGACCAAGACCAACTGGGCAATGCTGAATGGGCATTTATTTAGCTGAGCGCTCACATCAGCATCCGTGTCCTAGTATTGGCATAATTCTGAGTCCTGGTAAATTTCTGCATAGTTTTGCAATAAAGAAGGATTTGAGCCAAATGGGAGGGCCCCCAGGACCTACGTAGTGTAGTGTTGACTTTTGTACCCCTTAACAACAGAAAAAATCTGGGGGACATTTAGAAAAACAACTTCTAAAACCAGATTTTTAAAAATCCAACCCAATGCTCTCACCAATTCACTGACCTTCTAGCAGTCAAGAGATGTCTCAAAGTAGGAAGGCAGTAAGTGCAAGACATGAGTGAGTGATTTGTTGTTTAAGGCAAAAAAACAGATGCCTCATTGAGAAGAACATTGAGTTTTGCCTTTGTGAATTGTTGTCATGATGGTGGATACATTCATGTGCCCAGCAAATAAGCCCACTTGCCTTAGCAAGAGTTATGCCTCTAGGAAGACATTATGCAAAAGTGAGAGACACTCAGTCTGGTTAGCTACATTGACATTTAAGTCACAGAAAGGAGAAAGCTTCCTGGCAAGGAAGATGTATTTAAAAAATCTAGCAGCTGAAAAATTTGTCTGTCTATCAGTAAACAAACATACCTCATAGGTGGATTTGCAGAGAACCTGCCTTTCCTTTTCATTTGTGAAAAAGCTCTATTCAAGGCAGAACTGTGTCTGTGTTGAGAAAAGGTCACTGTTATCCTAGGAAAATGAACACGTCCTTCCCTGAGAATTCAGACTCCAAGAACAGTCACTGGAGTTGTCTCTGCTATGATGGAAGTACTGACCCAGGGTCAGCTTGGTTGAGATCTCTGTTTTTCAGAAACAGCAGCCAAGAGATGGTGAGGAATGATTTTGCCATTCCTAGCAGCCCTAGGGCTAATGCCTAATCTTGCAAGGCAAACACCTGTGCCCAAGCCAAGCCACTTTCAGGTCTGAAAAGTCACTGTAGGGTTATTGCTTGAGAGACCACAAAGTCCATGGCATTTAATACTGTGAGTCACATGTTAGGTAAGGGAGCATAATCCTCCCAAGTAGCAGAGATATGTGTCTATCTCTGGAAAGATAGGTGTGCAACAGGTACATTTTTCAATACCTTTTACTTCAATACCTTTTGTTCAATACTTCAGAGGCTCCAACACTTATGAGTAATAACTAAGTTCTCCACTCACACAGGTTTTGTGCCTCTGCTCTGTCAGCTATGTTATCAACTGGGTCTCAGCTCCCTGTCTCTTAGGAAGCAGTCAGTCCTTGCTCTAACTCTAAAGAAAAGAGAGGATCGCTTGGAGGCAGGACAAATCAACAGACGTAATGAAGAGACACCTATTGTTGAGGAAACAAAGGCAGGTTGAAAAAAAAGTTTTCTTTTGGTATAAACCAAAACGATATCTAACAATGGGACATGCAAAGGCATAGCTCATACTGGCAATTTTCAGGCCTACTCAGATGTGAAACTTCATGACTAGTCAATTTAAATAAATATACTAACAGGCTCTGAACATTGTCTAGCCCATGAAGTTTGGGGCCTTGCCTAAATACCATTCACAGCTGTCCAGTTGGCATACATCTGGAGTGTTTGGTACAGCCCTGGTTAATTACATATGTGTACATTCACAGAGCCTCTTCTCTTTCTGTCACCAAGATGAGAGTAGAAAATAAAGGGAAGACAGAGAAAAAATCAGTCTAAAAGAAAAGGAGAAATAATAGAAAAGAAAGGAGGAAAAAAAATAGAGGCAAAGAGTCCGAAAGTGAAGTCCAATAGTTCTAACCCCCAAAACCAATCATGGAGCCAGAAGAAGACTGATGAGCTCTCTCATCTTCAGACCTTTGCATACAAGCATGATCTTATGTCAGGCAACAACTCCCTGCATCACTGGCTGTTCTTCCTTCTTTATCACTGGTTGTAGCTGGAAGTAAAACTCATGTGGTTAGCTGAGAGAGTCTTGGGCCCCAAACCACCTCTTCCATCAACACTGACATGATCTCTCAGTGTAGCTTCATATGAAGCTAATTTATTAATGGGATAACTTTCTGCCTCTTCACCAGAGGGCAAGGACAAAGTATGCTGTTTGGAACTAAGAATAGGATTTTCCACCTCCTTCCTTCACCTTGAGAGTAAGAAATAACCCCTAAGTTATGAGAAGGAATTAATTATCCATGTTGATTCACCCATCTGATCCATACAAAGTACACCTTGCTGTTCCATTGAATCATGAACCTGTCCAAAAAGAAACACTTCCTTGCCTCTCTTACCACTCCTACTCACAAATATGTCCTTCTGGTGAACCGAGAGATCCAGTCCTCCTATTTCTTCACTTTAAGACATGATTCACAGGATTTTAAAATCCTTGTTTGTTTGAGGAGAGAGGGCTCCTTGCCAATTCCTTTCCCACACAACATGATAACAACACACTTACCTTACCTGAATGCTGAGTGGTCTTCAAGGCAGGTGCTTCACATCAAGTGGTTATTTAACTTTCTCATTTATCACTCACCTGGAGCTGGTACAAATGCAACCCACAGCCCTGCCCCTTCAAATAAGCCTGTGCTCTACTTCCCTTTCATTTGTGCTGTTGTAGTCCTCAACACCAGAGATTTGTTCCCTCTGACCTTCCTCTTTATAGCATAAGTTTAGCAACTAGGTTCCTGATCAGATGTCATATAATTAAGAGGAAGAGGGAAGGAAATACTTTTCACTGTTATGTTTTGCTTAAATGATTTCCAAGAAATGCAACTCTTTTTTCCACAAACAAGATGTAATGATCTCTTAACAGAGGCTGAACTTCACTGTTTGTTCTCTTTTCTGTTGATCTGCACTCAAAACCTGTCCTTTAAATCATCATTCTCCTTGTGTGCAATGTTTTCTGAAAAGAAAGTTCATTGCCATAAACAAATAAAGCATTAGTTTACATTGTGAATGTTGTCTTAAAGACACATTGCTGTTGCTAAGCTTGACATGTATAAAACTGTCTCCATCCAAATAGTAGCACTAGAAGTGTGCATTCTGCTTAAACCAAACCCCACTGTTAAGGGATTAAAATTCAAGCCACACTCTGATTACATATTTTAATTTAAGTGATAACATCACTCTGCATCAGTAGAAGTGAGGAAAACACTCGGATGGAGACAGTGTAATTTAACATAAACTTAGATCTTTTTAATCTTAGGAAAAAAAGGAAGTGAGTGGTGGCATCTAAAGAAGTGAGAGGCAGTGACTGCTTTCTCTAACCTAGCCTGCAGTCTTTGTGAAGATACTACTAGACTTTTGGGCAGCTCCTTTATCAATTGAAAGTGCTAGAGTTCAGAACTTTGTTTTTCATCCTCTGCAACACACACAATTTCTTAGGAATCACTGGCAGCTGGAAATGCTTTGGAAAATGTTTGTAAAAGCTAAAAGAAAAGCAGAATAAGCCAAAGAGATGAAGAAGAAGGGAAATAACTTGGCAGTAATTTTCAGAATATGCTGTAAAAGTGAAGATGGCACACAATGTATGGACATGATCTTGAGAATGGAGACTTTTTTTCTTTGCAGTCCCCAAGGGGCACACGTGCACTCTTCATATGTCTTTCACAGATAAAAAAGAGGTGTAAGCTTATCCCCTCAGTATCTTCTTAATAGGCAGAAGAATTATCCCACTTAGATGTAAAGACCTTAGTGGAGAAAAATGAGGATTGGTAGTGAATACCCATGCACTATGTCTCTTGATACTTGAGTCATTCATATAAGTAATTTTCTTTGCTTTTCATGCTTGTTAAACACACTCACACTGTGTGATTCCAAGCAATACTCTGTTACTCCTCTCAATTTACTCCAGTTATGGTTTGGCATCACTAGACACAAAGGATCTACAGTTTACAATCTATGCTTCTTCAACAGAGCAATGCTTGATGAATGTGAGATTAAGGTTCCCTTGGATGGAACAGAGGTGTGTCTCTTCAGCAAAGCTGCTACACTAACTTAAGCCTGCATGGACTGTGACTGTATCAGTGACAGGAAATTCACCATGCTAGTCTCATAGCAGAGTCTGACACCATCAGTTAACCTTGTGAGTTTGCAAAGAAATCACTGTGCTATGACAAAGCTATGCTACAGACTTGAAAGATAACTTCCTCTATATACCCAGGCTGTGAAGTGATGCCTTTTTTTTAAAGGCCACACAAAGGGGGTTAATGACATATTAATTCCCTATCTGAAGTGAAATCCAGTAACAACCTTTAGCAGCAACTTAGGGTAGAGGTTCAAGAGAAGTGTTCTGAAACAAAGACCAGGTAGGAAGGCTGGGTGTAAATCCCTGGATTTCTCCTGCTATGTTTGCTGAGCCATAGTGAAAGCAACTTATATGGGTATATATAAAAAGCAGCGAGCAGATTGCCATAAATTCAGTGGCAATCTCTTCAGGACTACTGGGATGGGCTCTTTGACCAAAAAGGCTTTAATTAATCAGAATTAAATCTGTCAGAAAACACAGAATCATGAACTGACAAGACAGCAAAAGGCCTTTTGTTAGCCAGTTAAAATCTTTTATCCCAAAATGAGATGTAACTTGACTGAATGGATGGGCAAGTTAAGTCTTTCAGCTCCAAAACAGAACATGAGGATGAAACCAAATCATCCTTTAGACACTGTGTGGGTCTTGTCATATCTGCATAGGCCATCCATAGCTTCTCTTGCACTCAGTGGAAGTTCTGTCTGGAACGTGATGTCACAGATTGATATCACAGCATCCATGGGTGGGTTGAGTGGACCTCATCTACTGGGTCTGGCCTTGCACTCCAGGAAGAAGTCACCTTCCAAAAAGTGGTCATGGGCAACATGAACACTAGTCAACATTGTGCCATGAGTTACTCAACAAGTACCATATTAGCAAAAGCTAATAGGTGTCTTAAGTGGATGGGCTGCCTTCAGGAGCAGAAAAAGAAAAGAAGATATTCAGTGGAACACTAATACTTAAATATACATTTTGTACAGGAAGAGTAGTTCACATTTACACATTAATGCTAAAGCAAGTATAGTGTTGATACAGAGAAATAATTACTTGGATTTAGATTTATTTACTTACTTATAAAAAATTGCTTAGTAACTTATTTACTTACTTATAGCAAGTTATAGTATTTTAAAAAATACTGCTAAGAATCCTGCTTGCCCAGACTGTTCTGTGGAATTTTACCAATGACTACTGTGTTCATCAAAACAAAGCATTTCACTGTGAAAATCTACCAAGGATTACAATGTTCAGCAAAATATTATACTTTTGGCCTTGAGTAACAGGTGGCTCTAACTAGTTGGAATTTTGCTAATGAGTAAAGATAGCCATGTATGAATGGTAGAAGTTCTATTGGTTCTCTTACATAAGATAGAAAGTAAACCATCTGAAAAACACTCTTGTTATTCAAGAAATTAGCCAAGGGAATCTGTGCATGCTCTGGGGAAAAAAACAGGGTGAGAAAGACTACGAGCCTTCCTCCCAAAAACCCCCACCAGGAGGCAATGCACAGGTGCAAAGAGAACATAAACAGTTGACATCAGCCTTTGGAACTTACCCAGCCTTACTCATGCATGTATGTTTGTGTTATGTAATCCAATGAATATGGATATCCACATCTATAAGGTTTTGGTAAAATGTGTGGTGGGTGTGCAAGCTTTGTGGAGAAACCCCCTTGCACCCCGGCCAGAGTAAAACATACCTGCTGTATAACTCTATTCGAGTTGGAGAGTCTTTTTTCCACAAATCAGTGTGAAACAGAGTATGTGTCAACAGTTGTGCTGTATTACAGAGTTTCAATGGTTGCAGAATTTTATCCCACACTAAAAGGAATGGTATACTGTTAGTGCTATGCTATCAATCACCTGATGAAAAGGAGGTGAGTGAAATGCTAAAGACGACCAGTGACTCTGAAGGGCAGACATACAGTAACAATGGGACAGTCCAATGTCGTGGTTTCAGCACCATGCAGCTGCTGGCTCACTCCTTCCCCCTCAGGGATGGGGAGAAGAAAATAGAACAAAAGGCTCAGGGATTGAGACAAGGAAGGATGACTCAACCATTGTGATCACAGGCAAAACATCAATTTAATTTGAACATCATCCAATCATACTAGACTAAGTAAACATCACAGTGAACTGTGATGAGGCTGTCTGCACTGGTAGTCTAAACCAGGACAAGGAAAATGATTGAACTCTGGAATGAGGCCATAGACTCTGTTCAATTTTTAGTGAATGCTTTGACATGGCTTTTGTCTATGTCAATAAGCAAGCCAGGGATACTTTCCAATATGCAGTATGAAAGAAGCCACCTTCTACTGTGAGAGAAACAGCTTGGATACATGAATCTTCCATGACTGCTCCATGTCATTTGCTCTTGCAGACAGAAATGGACCTTGGTCTACTTTGTTTGCTAGGATGGATTCACAGATTCTAGGATGGAATCACAGATTCTACTTTTTTTAGCCAGTGTAAATGATTGCTTCTTGGAGTTATTTGTGAAAGCACACACAAGAAAAGAAACAAACTGATTTAGTCCTGAATAATATACAAGACCTCATACAAGTTGAAACAACAAAAGACACACGATTACTACAATTATGTTTTAAGGACATACATAAAAATAACAAGACTGGCAAAAATAAGACCAAGAAGCTGTTAAAAGGGTCAAATGTTTGCTGTGCCAAAAAATGTTGTGTCCTGGTTCAGTGAGGATAGGGTTAAGTTTCCCCAGCACGGAGAAGGGATCTCCAGCCGGGTTATTCATACCATGCTGGTGTCAGGTCCGGAGAGGCAGCGCAGGAAGCTTTCCTTTGCGGCTTTGGTCATGGGGAGCATGCGGCAGGCTGGATGTGTTCACCACAGTATTTCTCTGTATATCTTTTGTCTTCTTTACTGTTATTACTGTTGTTATTATCGCTATTGTTGTTGTTCAGATTGTTTATTACACTGTTGTATTAAATTTCTTCTTATTTTAACCCAGGGTTTTGCCCTACTTGTGTCCAAGGGTGGAGGAGGGGCAACAGCAATGTGGTTTCTGGTCCCAGCAGGGCTTAAAACTATCACAGGTTGCTTAAAGAATCATTTAAAAACTCAAAAGTGAATTTAGGCCTACACTCTAAAAGTAGGATTATTGTAGCCTTAATATTCTGAAAAAGTAAATCAGGCAAGACACATAGCAAAAAATGATAACATCTTTTCCAACTAAATCTTTCAGTTTAATAAAACATAATTACTTTCTTTACAAGTCTTGCATAACCTACATTGACTCAATTGCTGTCTTGTGATAAAACCTGTAAAGGAACTTAAGAACAAGAAATTGTAGTAAATAATCAAAGGCTTTAACAGGCCTCAGTATCAGATAAAAAGAAATACCGAATGCAAGTTTTTGAGGAGTACTCAGAGAAGAATCCAGGGAAATTTTGTCCAATCAGACTAACTTTTGTACAGCGTAGGTGATAACATATATAATATATATCATATATATAAAATGAAAAATAGAAATACTAGAGAGAAATGTTATGGGGAAGAGTTAACATAGCTTTTGTAGAGAGTAGTTATGCCTCATAAAACTAGTAGAGTTCTTGGAATAATTCCAGAAACAAACAGATAACGGGTTACCCAATTAGTGTATCGTCTAAAAAGCTTGATGAAGTCCCTTAAAAATGCAGTTCCAAGAAACTAAGAGGTAAAAGAAAGGTTCTCATGTAGATTAAAGTTAGTTAAGGACAGAAAACAAATGAGATAAATTAATTGTTAGTTTTCATATTGAAGGAAAGATTTAAGTGAGTTCTCCTAGGAATTTCTAATCTTCAACAGAATTATAAATTATCTGGACAGCTGAGTGATGAGAGATCACTTACTTGAGAGATCTGGGTGACTGAGAAAGATAAAATTTTATCTGTGTTACTCCAGTCTAACGATAATGGAGAAAACCTAAGTTATTAGGTATAAACAGGGTATAAAATCAGAATCATAAAACTGTAGTCATAGAATGGTTTGTGTTAGAAGGGTCCAAATCCCCCTGCCATGGGCAGGGAGACCTTTCACCCAACCTGATTCTGAACACTCTAGTGACAGGGTAGCTACAGCTTCTCCGGGCAACAAGTTTGTGTGTCTCACCAGCCTCATTGTAAAAAATTTCTTCCTTATATCCAGTCCAAATCTATCCTCTTTCAGTTTAAAAACATTGCCCCTTGTCCTGTTACTCCAGGCCTTGTTAAAAAATTTCTCTGTCTTATAAGGCCCTTTATATATTGAAAGGCTGCTATAAGTTCTCCCCAGAGCCTTCTCTTCTCCAGACTGAACAACCCTAAATCTCTCTGCCTTTATTCATAAGATAGGCATCAGCCCTCTGATCATTTTCATGGCCCTCCTCTAGACCTGCTCTAACAGGTCCCTGTCCTTCTTATGCTGGAGACCTCAGAACTGAACACAGGACTCCAGGTGGTGTCCATGGGAGCAGAATAGAGGGGCAGAACACCTCCCTCGACCTGCTGGCCACACTTCTCTTGATGCAGCCCAGGATACAGTTGGATTTCTGGGCTGCACTCTCACATTGCTGGCTTATATCTAATTTTTTATTCACAATTATCTCCTTCTCTACAGGGCTGCTCTCAATCAATTAATCAATTCAGTGTTAATAAATACAGAGAAATTCATGTGACAAAAAAAAAATTCTAACTACACAACAAGACCAAAGAACCCATGAGAGCAGACAAATAATAATAGTAATGGGAGAATCCATTTATCACAAACTGGCAAATTAACATGCTTCAAATTAACATACTCAGTTCTTGTCATTTCATCTCAGAAGGAATACTATAGAACACTCAAGAAACAGAAAAAGTACAGAAGTGTTATGAGAAATATGGGATCTATAGCAAGAGAGACTAATTACTATGGAATTCTTCAGCTTGGAAAAAGAAACAACTGAAAGATGATTTAATAGAAGTTTGTAGCATCTCAAAGAGGACATGATGAATAAGGAATGATGGTTTATCAGTTCTCCTAAAACAAGACCAAAGGAGAAACTTATCATGCAACTGACACAAAATGAGTCCAGGAAAATGTGGGCATTTTTTTTGTTTGCATGTTTTTATTTATAAACGAATTGATTACAGCTTTGTTATCAGACATTAGTAAGCCAAAAATTAAGTGGTTTTAGAGAGGGATTAGTTGAATCTCTAAAGACTAGAGCCATTAAGTCCATAATTCTACAACAGCTTAGATGTAACCTCCAACTCAGGAAGGTTCTGAGCCAGATACCAGGCAAATATATTGGTTAAGGATTTAATTATTTACTGTATACTTTTCCATGTCTACTACACCCTGGCTTTAAGCATCCACTGCAAACATTAGCAGAGACAGAATACTGGGCAAGATGGAATCACTGTTTAGATCCAATGTATTAGTCTTACATTCCTATATTACAGTCTCTTCTGCAAATAGAAGGGAACAAAAGGGTGTCTTTAGATGCTGAAACATCAGCATGAATCCATCGTAAATCTGCAGTGAATGAAATAAACATGAAAATGTATGTCAACATCCTATGTTCCTCTGAATGCAGCAGAAAGACAAACAGAAGTACACTGTAATGTTGTAGCAGATGCAAAAGAACTCATCTAAAAAGTTTGCAATGTACGTGCACACTGCAAACAAGGAGCTGGAAATTTTTTAAAAAGTAAATAGGAAAAACCATTCAATTGTTTCAGATAGCTTTACATCGACTTTTCTAGACAGCCTTCAACAGCAAGGACCGTATGTTCCTCTACCAGCAAACTGGAACAATGAATCTACAAAGCTTTTGACCTAAAGCTGGCTTACGCTGAGCGAGTTTGCAGAGGAGTCTGGGTCCACCCACCTAATGCCATTGTGAAACATTCACCGTGTAATATGAGGAGTTCTTAGGATCAAGGTTGGAGCATACAGAACCCTGCCACTTAGTAGGACTTAAAAAGGGCCTAAACAAGCATGAAGTCGTTGTGCTACTTATTCCCCACGTACAGAACATGACATGCAGGGTGTCTTTTCATGGAAATTTCAGTTCTGTAGTGAGAGCAGAGGGGAGCATGTAGGAAGTGAGAAGAGGCAGAGATCATTCATGAGAGTTGTAGGGGCATAAGACTGTGTGTACAGATGTGTTTGCCTGAATGGACCAGAAACTACACGGGGACTGGCAGGGTGGGTTGGGTTTGTTTTCCATTACCCTGCAGAGATACAAGATTCTCAGAAATTCTCCAGGTATTGTTCCTTGAGGCCTTGGAGGGCTTTTCACCACAGGCTTCCTTTTCTAGCAAACCATTCAGCCTCATTTTCCTTCCAAGACAACCTCCAGTCTAGCAGAAGCAGAAATACAGTCTAGTTCAGCATGGATCTTAATTACAACTATTGAGGTCACAATATACTCACTACCCTAATCTCATGAAAATTCAGGTAATATATTTCTGGTTGAGGAAGATTATGATAAGAGAATAATAAAGTGTTACTTCAGAGCAATGAAGAGAAAAATGCCTGCTGTTAAAACACAGGTAGAATCTTTGATGTTTGAGCATACAGTAAGGAAGAGGTTGCAATGATTTCATAACTGTACATTCAATGTAAATAGAGTGTTGTAAAATGTGATTTACAGATTTGAGGTGCCTACCTCTCCTTTTTTGACTATATAGGAAACACTGGTGAATCATCACTCAGATGTACAGGCTGAGGGGCTGGAACTACTTAGTAGCATGTCCTAATTGGCTCCCGAATCATCCAAATGATGATTCATCTCCTGCATATCAGTACCTAGCACTGGGGAAGGGAGCAGCAACTTCCTTTTGCACAGTAACTTTGTGGCTAAAACTAATGATCAGGAAGTTGAAGACCTGGGACTTCAATCACCAGGCTGCAGGTTTGTAAAATGCTTTTTACCACCCCCACTGCAGCTGGACCTCGTGCAGAAGACAATGGAAGATTCATAGAATCAGCAACAGATGAAGTTTATGGCAGCTTTGATTCTGTAACCCAGTAAGAAGCGGCTTCCTCTGGCACAGCACAGCCATAGGTTTTGACCCCTGCTTCAAATGTTCATGACATTTTATATAATGGAACTGAACAATGAGTCCCTAGAACAGAAACTCATTCTGCCCTCAAAACAATCATTATAGTTGCAAAAGAAAAATCACTGTTCGCTCCCCTAGCCTGACAATGGCATGTTACTCTGCAAGTTCCAGGCTCCTGAAGTGATCTTCAGATCATAATATCTGCTCTTTGTGGTCATATCAAATGTTCTTGTATCTATAAATCCTGTCTCCAAAAGTGGCCTCTACAAACGCCCAGTGAAGTGCAGAGCACGAGAGGAACAGATAGCTCTTAGACTACTGACCACAGTGAAAATGGGCTTCATCCAAAAGCCACTGAGCTGAATAAACGTTCTCCCACTTACTATTCTTCTTGATTATTAAAACCACAGCAATTCAAGGTCCAGCAAGATGATGCATATCTAAAATGTGAATCCAGATACAAAATTTGCATATGAAGTTGAACATCTGCTTTTAGTACATGTCTAGATAGACACAATCCTACCGACTGGAAGAAATCATTTGTGCTACTCCTAAAAGGCCAAAGAAGAAACTTAACAAAAAAATCCATTGATTAAGAAAGGACTAAATTGAAAATCCCTTAAAGTGTTCATCAATATTCTCTATCAGAGGCTGCAGCTGCCTGCCTTTTGCTGTCAAGAACGCCGACTGAATTTGAACACCTTTCAGATTTCAAATGGTATGTATAAGGATTTAATTTCTGAAAAGAACCAATACATTTCACTGCGATTTCTGAATCAGCCATGTCCCATTTAC